ATTTCTCTCTGGTTTGAGGCTGAATCCGCACGTGTTGAGGTGGGAGAGCTGAGTCCTAGCATGAGGCTTTAGCACCCTTCTCATCTCTCCCTGAAGAACCAAGACCAGGAGAAAAGCTGTCCAAATCCCCCTCCTCTCCCTCTCCCCAGTCAATCGAAATGATGGGGCACACGAATGGACTTGCAGTGCAGCCCGTGCTTGATAGGTCATTACTGCTTTAAGTAAGATATTAACAGCTTTGACTGCAGCATTAGAGCAATTTAAATTGTTTAAAAATTTTTAAAAGTTCCCTGCGGACATGTACTTACCATCAGTTTTGATGTGGAAACACTGTGATATATAAATGTTGTTGGACAACAGTAGTTTAAAAATGAGTGGAATATAGAGGGTTAAAAAAGTTAAAAAGAAAAAAATGGGGAAAAAAGCTAGCTATATCCTTATACTTATTGGAGACACTTTAACTTTTTCCTTTGTATTTTCATTGTATTAGATAAATAAATGTGAATGTAAAATTGTATAAATTAATGTACTTGAATACTTGTCTGTTCTCCCAGTATGCTTGCTGGATATTTTAGTGCCTTGGACTTCTATTGCTTCTGCAGTTAGCGTCGTCTTCCCAGCAGAGCCCCAGGCGGATGGAGGGCAAGTTCAGAGCAGGATGGATTATTTGTACCTGGTGACTGGGACAGTCGAGGTTATTTAGTGATACCGTTACTGTTTAGAGTAGGTGTGTGGAGGGGGAAGTCACTGAGGCAGCGCGTCGGGACAACGTTCTGCGTGTTGGGGAAGCTTGTCCAGGCGGGCAGATCTGAAGTTGCTGGTGTGACAGGGGCCAGGTGGGGGCGGGACGGAGGGTGGTGGGCGAAGCTAAAACGAGACTAACCAGTATTGTCTACGGAGGCAGGAGGTCTGGATCAGAAACGGAGAGAGGATGGGGAGAACATGTATCTTTGGGAAAGGCCCAACTTAAGATGCAGTTTGACTCCACCTGCGAAGTGGTGAAGATGTTTGGTCAGGATGTGGCTTGAGGGAGAGGTGCCATTGCTCGTTGGCGTGGGCTTGTCTGCTGGGATTGCTTTTCTTACCTTTTTTTTGGTAAAATCCATTTAAGCCAGGAATAGACCGTCCTGGCGCAACGTCCATTGCCGGCAATGGATGTACTTGAAACAGCCGGCATCAAGAAGTTTCCTCTGTCTTATTTGGAGGATTTATGATTTTGTTCACTCTCTAACAAATTTCAAGCTGGTACCAGGACTGTAGCTATCTGTCACCTCTTAGTAACTGTACTGTACCTTCTGCTTTGGTCATTCTCCCTTTTCATATTTAAAAAATACTGGTTTCCTCTTCAAAGTAAAAATAATACCAGCCAGTATTTATGTAGTGCTGCAAAAAGCTGTGAAGGATGAGAGGGACTGCTTCCTGCTGCTTGGGAGTAGCTCACCGGTATCCTGGAAGCTGGTGCATCACAGGGATGTTACTTGCCTGAATATTTTTCTGGGAGCGCTGTTCCCCCATGGAGCCTTAACAGGGAGTTTTTCTGTCTGCGGGTGCTCTCACTCTTTGATTTTTACAAAGAAACGCGCAAGATCCGTTCCTTCCCTGTCACTTTTTTACAGCAGTTTTGGCAGCAAGGGCAGGTACTGGTGGGAGGTGAACGCCTGAGGGCGAAAGCTAGTGGCGAGGTGGCTGGGCTCCGAGTCCCTTAGATCTGGGGGTTTGCCCTTTGTAACCGAAGGGCGGACTAGAGCTGCAGAAGGAGGAGAGGAGGCTCATGGTGTGCGTGTGGTGGAAGGGGGGGAAGCAGGGGTCCCTGCGGCCTCTGCTCTTCTGTCCGAACGGATGCAGAGAAGTTTCCTGAACGCGCCCAGTGCGAGGGGAGAGGCCTGCGCTGGAAACGGGGGTGGTGACAAACCTGGGGCAGTAATGAAAGAAGGGGAATATTTGTGATGGGGGAACCAATCGGCTGGATGCAGCACGTGGTTATTTAATTTTGATCTAATAAGTTTGAGGTCGTTTTTTCACTTAATGTTATGCAAGAACTGGTTTTATTTACCATTGATTCCCCCCGCCCCCTCCTGTGGATGAATAACTGAAGTCTAGAGGAATAAACTAATGCTACTGAACTGTTAAATTATTTTGTTTAATATTACACTTTGAGTATCTTTTTCCACATAAAATCTGTTTCTGAATTACAAGCGTTTTCTTTACATTATTTAACAATGTACACTGTAAAAAATAAAAATAAAAAAAATAAAATGAATTGAAACTTCGGGCTTCCCTGGCCGTAGTTAGTTGTATGTTTTGCACTAAACCCAGGCACTGCGCTTCTTGTATGATTGCGCTTTGTGCTGCAATTTGTTACCTTTGTAGAATATTTAATGAAGTCATTCAAATAAACCAAACCTGCTTTTGTTGAGCTGTGGGGTTTCGTGTTGAACAGCAGGTTCTGAGCTCTCCATCCTCTTCCTGGAGTGATTTAACTGTTACCCAATTTATCAGTTCATCACAGGAAAGTACAAGAAACCCATTTTAATGAGACCCTTAACTTCTCAAAAGCAGGGATCAGTAATGAGCCTTTGGCCTTTTAATAGAAACTCTGAAACAAGGTCCTATAAAGAATAATTTGTAGAATGGATCTTCTTTATGAGAGGAGGGGCCTAAGGGAAAGGGAGGGAGAAGCTGTGAAGGGTAATGTATGAGCAGTACCATTGCTTCTATGGCTGAGACTGTCAAGAAGTTACCAAGTAGCAGAAAAACGTGCTCAGCTGTGACAGTCAAGAACTTGGTGGCTCTCCCTGTTTGGGGCACGGGTGGAGCTTCACCAGCAGTGCTGCTGTCCTCCCTTTTGGCAGGGAAGCTGGAGCAGGGGGTGCTGTGAGGGCTGGGGAAGCCCTTTCTGGGCACGGAAGAGTCCTACTCTTTTTTGGTTGGACCAGTTGCCCTCCTCGCTGGGGTGGAAGGGAGTGGGGATGTGCACCTGCGGTGCTGGGGAGAAGAAACTTTTTAGTGTAGCTCTATAATAGGAATTCCAGCCCCAGATTTGCAAATGTGCTAGTAGAGTAGCAGAGTGGAACTACTCTACAGGGTCATTCTCAAACAACTGTAGCCTTGCAGGAATTACTTGGTATTTCTAAACACTAATTGCTGCTGCATTTCTTTCCATTTTAAGAACAGCTTCTGTTATGAGTCATGCTGCTCAAGGCCTTAAAGGGAAAGAAAAAAAACTCCTCTAAATGTAAGTTTTACTGCCCTTTTAAAAGGGACCAATCCTGAGAGGCTTACTGCGGTGATTGCCCTTAGAGGAGGCATGGCTACGTTTGCACTGCTTCTGTAGACTCAAGAAAGCTGATGCAGTTGTGCTCATATGAGACCTGTAATTTTTTCGTTGTGAAAGTTTGGAGCAGCTTAGAATACAGTAATTCTGAATGTCTGCACAGTCCTTTCCTAACAGGTATCTGATTTCAACAGTGAGTGCACGACTCAAACACGTGGTATGTATTTCTTCCCTGAGCTGTTCTGAACGCAGCACTGAATTGGAGGGAAACTAGTAGGGTGAAATGTGAAACTATTTTCTAGATGTGATCTATTACAATTAATTATAATTTGTCCTATCTGTCCATACTGAAGTAAATCCTTGTTCTTTGTCTGTTGAGGAGGTAAGTGGATACTAGAGGATCTTTTAAGGCAAAAGGACGGATTAAGTGGTGAAGGTAAAGTAGGAGGAACAGGAATGCTGAATACTTCAAATGTATTTACATTTAGACTGCTGTAAGAGACTTGCCCGGATAGAGCAGTGATGGCAAAGCACAGGAACAAGGTCCTGTTTCAAGTCTGACATGGATTTCAGGCTTGGACTAATCAAAGAGTTTGTGTAAATTTTCCTGGTCCAGCTCTAACTTCCAGTCCTGCGGTATTGTCCTCCCTGTCTCCAGCACTGCGCTTATGAAAAATATGACTGTATCCAGTCTGAAATACTGCATAAAAATTCTTTCTTTGACCTTCTTACTGGAAGGAACAGCTGTTGCTTTGCTCTGAAGTTTAAAACCCACTTGAAGTTTTCTGTTGTCCACCTTAAAGCAAGTGCAAGGCTGTGCAGACACGGTGGTAGCCTCTTTAGCTTCCTACTTGTAACTAGTCAGAATGTGTTAACTTCTTTGAGCTTGTTAGACAGGAAATGAGTTGTAATGGTTTGAAGGGTATAGAGGCACAAACACCTACAAGCATGGTTTGTTTTTCAGACTTCATGTTTATTTTTATATTGAAAAGGGTTGAAAGCTTATTTAAAAACAAAAATGCAGCTCCCATTCATTTTACAAAGGGTCCAAGCAACCACTGTCTGAGATGCTACGTGCAACTCCCTGGCAGCAGTCCCAGCGTGCTCCTGCCCCCGTGCTGGCCTGTTGCGCAGGCACAGCTGAATGCGCTGCTGCTGCGGCGCAGCAATCCGATACGGCTGAAGAAGGAGCTGGGGAGAGACAACGGGTTCTGACCCTGTTTGTGCAGCCGCAGGGCGAACGGCGGGGCTGCATGTCACGCTGCCACAGCTTCACACCCTCAGCCTCACCGAATGGGCAACCACAGCTTGTGGGCTTTGTCATCTGACCATAACCCCCCACCCTTCTCCCCATTTTACTGAAAAATCTCTTTTCTCTGCGCTGAAATGCAAGAGGGAGAAAGAAGCTATGAATTGTATCTCATTTTAAAGATTGATTCTGTTACTACTTCAGGCAAATGACATGTAATGTCAGCTTGTAATACAGCTGCAAGCGTAGTGCTGCAGAAGCACAAATGATTGCTTGTTTATAGAAAAAGGCATCTGAAATATGTAATAACCTAAAAGTACATTAAGTTCTTGCTGGCTGTATTAAACCCTTCTGTGTTGCTTCACCATAATATATAGAAAAATCCATTAATGCATTAGACTTCCTCACACAATTTGAACAGCCAACTGTAGTCTTCTGATGTAATCCAGTACAGAGGTAATGATACCACCAGGTGTCTTACGTAGGCTCTAGCCTCCTTTTCTTCAAGCTTTGACTTCTCCTGTGGGGGCTGCACTCTGCCAAACAGGGAGATAGTGAGAAATGGAAGTTTCGTAAAGCTTTTTTCTGCTTCTAAAAGTGCTCCTCAATTCTTTTTCTAGCTCTTCCTTGATAGGACAGTTGGATGGAAAAAACCAGGTAGTTCTCCTAGCCTGCTATCGCAGTATCTGCAGCCAGGTCCAAGAAAAGAAGGATGTTTCTCCCACTCCAATTTAATAATCTAACAGCACTGCTTTCAAAGCCAAGAGCCATTGTTAAGACAGAACTCGGTCATTTTTTGGTAGCACGTACCTGGGGTATGCTGGCTGGCACAGCTGCTGTTGCTCATGATTGTAGCAGATGGCTGCAATTGCACAAGTCTAGCAGAAGCTTTGTGGTAAGTCATTCTGTGAGGTGTCCTGTTACGAGTAGTCATCTGATGATGTCCACGGGGTGTTTCAGGTGTCCGGTGTCCAGCAGATGGCTCTGCCATTTTGTGACCCATTATCTTAAGATCGATGGTCTCCAAGGAAATGTCCCAAAGTTCAGGATCATCTGGAATGAATGGAAAGGTGATCAAACCAAAGATGACAGTATTGTACTACAGGAATGACAGTAACTCCAGGACCAGCCCAGACTTTTCCTACAAGTGGTGGGCACTACAAAAGTGGAACTGTAAAGCATCTTTTATGTCGGTGCACAGCAGGGAAACGGTACTACCCCTTGTGCTCTGGACTTAAGCGATGTCCAGGCACCGTGGTGTAAGTGTAACCCAAATAGCCACAGTTACATTAAGACATGCCCTCACCCCCACAGATGTTCTGTTTCTGTGCAACAGCACTTGAGGAAAGGGGTTTACCAAACAGTGTAACAACTCTCTACTGAAAAGCATGGTGTGCAACCCCTCATAGTGATGGACATCATTTCCCTGCCACTCAAGCAAGGTTTGTATTGCTAAGATCAGGTTCATACACGCACTTCTATTATTCCAACCTCTTCAGAACTTCTTCGTTTACACTGTACTCTGAAGAGTAGATTTAAATGCTAATGATTTAACACGCTATTACTCATCACTTTTTGGCTGACCTGCAAAGAACTCCTCTTCTATTGCTAGTTTCTGTTGTACTGCTGCTGGAGTGCTGTGCTTTACAGGAGGATCAGATGCTGTTGGATGGAGGTAACAGAAGAAGAAATTAATGTTAGAAATACAGAAGAACCCTTTTGCTGCTTCTTAACAGAGCATTAGTCTGAAATGATAAGCAGCAGCAGCTGCCACCAGGTACCCTCTTTTTTCCTAGAGCTGGTTATGTTTTGGTAGCAGTATGTGGAATGGTAAGATTCTGTACCTGATGATGGCTGATAAGAGCAGCTGCACTACTTTAAACTGGTTTTTAGCCTGTTGACCCCATCCCCAAGTTCTTGCTTACCACTCAGCTGTCCAGACTTCCCCATGAATAAAGAGCAACATATTAGTAGCTAATGCAATACCTATTTGCCTGCAACCACCTCAGTGAAGTCCTGCAGTCTCAGCTCGGGCGCAGCATGTTAATGGTACTAACAACATCCTGCATGAAGCTTAAGGGTGGTTGGAAAGTTGCAGTTTTAATGATGCAGTTTTAGAGCTGACATTCCTGCCACTTTAAGAACAGGATGGGAAAAAGTATGATAATCCTCTTTCCTCTGGTCTCAAAGGTGTGTTGATAGCACAGTACAAAAGCAAATGAAACTGGTCGGGCTCCTGTATTGAGGGTAATACATGCCTGCCAGTAGCTATCGTTAAAACTGTCAATTTTTAATGCCAAATCTTACCCTGTTTGCTGCTAGGAGTAACTACTGGAACCTGATGCTTTTTCTCCATCTGTTCCCGGAACTGTTGCTGTAGCTGCTTTTGTCGCAATTTCCGCTGGTAAGTGGCATCACACTCAACAGATAAGGAGTCTGTATTTCTGCCCCTCCCCCAAGCAAGCACAAAGTTAAACAAGATTTCAGCAATCACCTTTTACAAAGAAAAAAATGCATGAAGAAATAACAAGGAAAATCCACTAAACTAGCCTTTTATGGCATCTTCCAAATTGTGCTGTCTGTGTGTTTTAAAAGGTACAGTAACTTCTAATATAGCTTACATAATCAATTTATAATAGCCGTCTCACCTTGTACTATTTGGCTGTTTCTGATCTGCCATCACTACGGCAGCCTCTGTCTGACCAGGCTTACAAGTAGATGCCATCTCACAATGTTGTCTCCCTCCTGCGTTCTGCCTTTCCAAACAGCTATTGTATCTTGCTTTTTCTATTTCAGGCTCATAGTCCTCTCTCTTAGCTTTGACCAAATCTAACTCAAGGGGTATCTAGCAAAGGGAAAAAAGAAAACATATTCAGACATTTCCTTCATCAAGTTAATGAAATTTGCACAGGGTTTTTCTATACAGTACTGTTGAAAAAGCTAGTTTGTTTGGTCCAAGCGGAATACTAAGTTAGAAAATTGAAATGCATTTTCAGTACGAAGTCATTCAGCTAGTTAATAATTGAATTCATGCGACTGTTAGTTTAATAGTTCGGTACTTCAGGGCAGATAGCCCATGCCTCCCCATACTGTGCTCTCTGCAAATGATAACAGTTGAAGATGATCAATGCAGAATTCTACAGTTTCTCAGAGTGTTTCACAAGCCTGTTGCTGAGTCTGTTAGTTTTGCCAGTTCCGTTTTCACGCTTGTATTAAAGGGCACGGCAGACTTTTACTCAGCTCTGCAATCGTGAGGTCACTGAAGAAGGTACACCATTCTCTTTTTATTAAAGATGGGATGCTTTGGCTCTGTGATTTTTACAAATTTGTGGCAATGCCACTAATAGACAATGACCTTGGCAAAGCAGAGATCTGTGCCATCTCTACTTGGCGAGGTGTCACTTTCGATGTGCTCCTACAGGCTAAGTTAGCTAGATAGAACCGCCTCACAGCTCTAGGCTGACTAGCAGAGTTTGGTAAATCCTAGTATGATGAAGGCAACTTTACTATGAAACTCCATGGATCAGCAGCTGTAAAAGGCTTACTTTTTCCTCAGTGAGCAAGGTCGGTTACCGCCTAGAAGCCTACTGCCCCCAACTGGTACACATCAGGAGCTGACAAGATTAATGTTGGTTCCTGAGGTGCAACCTCAGTAACAGCCAGGACAACTTTAATACTACGAAGGCTGCTGTGTTACATCACAGCACACTTATAAATTATGATAGCTCTGAAAGAACGGGGTTAAAGCATGGTTGTCACTGATGAAGATGTACATCACAATTTCTTGTCTCTCTCTCAACCAAAGACCTCCACAAGACGCATTTCTCCATGGTGTCGGTTACCTCAGAAGGTTCGCTGTTTGACCTAGTGCTTCACAGACTAAAAGTAACTGCCACTCTTCCCTTGCAAACTGAAACCTAAGGAGGTAAGGAGTCTGAAAAGCAAAGTAATGTGGCTTCTTACTGTTCATAAGGGTAAGAACCATATTATGGCAAGGAAAGTAAGTGTTCACGTACACATCAGTTGTACATGCTAATTCTTCATACATTCAAGAGCCCTAGTTTGCCAGTAGTATCATATCAGGTATTTAAAACAAATAAGTTGGAGTATAGATCTTCCTAATGTTATTCCCCATTCTCCAGCAGCCGAGTCCAGTACATCTTGCTCTTGTAATTCAGTTGCAAAATTCAGGTACTGACACATTTTTGAAGTCAAGCAGATTTGCAGGGCCATTTGTATACTCCTCATGCAGCAAAACAAAATAGTGCTGCCTGTTTTCGTGTTCTGTGGTAAAACTTTGAAGGGACTGGCAACAGCTAAAAAGTTGTTGTGGGTCCACTCTAAACTGTTTGGTTCACCCTTTGTATCAGATGTATCTAGCATTTTGCAGTGTTCTTTTGGGAAGGATCCAATTTGGTTAACTGAATGTTGAAAACATCTTTAGAAATTACCTTCGCTTGAGACCTCAGTACAAAAACATTGTTACAGAATAACTACTTGTTAACTATTCTAACAAGAACAATGAACACTGAGGGGTGAAATACAGGCGCACTGTAAATTTTGTTACAAGGACCACGCTGAGTTTATTTTCTATCTAGCTGTGCTGTGCATTAGGGCTTGGTAGAGTTTGAATACTGGTTAGTAGAAGGATAAAGTAACTATCAATGCATATATTGACATTGCTACTGTAAGGATTTTGCTTAAAATTAAGTGAAAGTTCCAATTACAACAAGCAGCTTTGGTATGTGACCCACCGGGTATTGTTTCTATGATACCCTGGGCTACGCATATTAAAATCTTTATTTGAAGGAGGAAGTCTTTCTCATGGAAAAACTTCCCATTTTCTGCCAGAGCTCCTTGAATTCTAAAGAACACTCCTTTTTCCTGCTACCCACTGGTTGACACATAGGCTGTCAGCTTGAGAGACTTCAGGATTAAATGAAATAGTCCTGA